AAAAAAAAAAAAAAGTTTAGAATTTCCTCTCCAGATAAATGTCACATATAAAGTTTTTAATCACTTACTGGTTAATAAAGATACAAATTATTTACTAAATCAAATCAAGAAATATGTAGTGTGAGCCAGGCACGGTGACATATGCCTTTAATCCTAGTGATTAAGGAGGCTTGCTAGTTCAAGGCTAGCCTCAAGCAATTAGCAAGACCCTGAGCAACTTGGCGAGACCCTGTCTCAAAACAAAAAAGGCTGGGGATGTGGCTCACTGTTTAAGCTTCCTTGGGTTCAACCCTCAGTACAAAAACCAAAGAGAAAAAATATGCAATGACTTTATGGCAACAAATGGTATGCGCTCTATATTCTATGTGGTTTATTTACTTCTCAGGAATCAGCAACGAATACCAAAAAACACTTTTACATGTTTTAAACACTTTTACATGTTATTAACCCTCTAATACACTGAAAATTAGTCATACTCATCTTTGTAGTCCCAACACCTAACGATATAGTAGGTTGCAAAATCTCTGAATTAATGACTAAAAAGAAACAATCACTTAGATTACACATTAACCTCGGCAAGGCCCAAGAAAACCATTGCCAATCAGAGCAGAAATATTTAAGAGCTCAATACATATTTTTTGTACGAATTTAAAATAAACATCACTCCAGGATAACTCCAAGATAACAAGCGTGCAAAGCTGGAAGGAAAAGAAAACGCCAATGAACATTTTCCAAACGCTGTAGCAAAAGCTGTAGGTACATTCGCCAAACTCACAGCGCTACGAAGCACGAATTATGATCACTATTTTAGAGTGAACTGAGATCTAGGTTTAATGGCAAGTTTCAAAGCCTTGTGCACGCGCCCGGGTAGTCACCTAGACCTGTCAGGTTCTGAGGCCTGGGCTCTTAACCCCTTCCTCTACCATCTCACTCACACTCCAGAAGTCAAGACATTTTTGAGAGACTGGAATAAAAGCGGCAACGTCTCCGTCCCTCCTCTCACGCTGCGGCTCCCAGTTGGAAGCTTCCCGCTCTCAGTCTCCGGGCAGACTGTACCAGCGGAGAAGACCCGCGTTAACGGGAGCGGTCACCAAAAGAGATGGCAGCACAGGCAATATCGCTCTCCTCCCAGGGCACCCTCTTCCCAACATTCCCCAGGCAGGATCCCAATGCACTTACATAACTCGATCCAAGGCGTCCATGACTATCCCAGCCCCACACTCGAGAAAGGGAGAAGTCGCACGGTTACACCAAGCGGACTCGTGCAACCTAGCAAGCGGAACCGGAAATCGTAGTGACGATACTTCCGGAGACTGCCCCGCCCCTGGCGGCCATCTTGGGTCAGATCGCGTTTTGTTGCCTTGGTTACCTTGCTTGGGTTCTTTCCCAGAAATTGAAATAATACTTAAAATGACTTAGCCCCTCAGCTTGATGTACACGCTCGTGTGTACCTGGAGTCAGGTATAGGGAACACAGGATATCAAAAAGGTTGAAAGGGTGATGGGTACTCATGTGGTAACTAAAAAACAAAACGTGAAACACCATTGATAGAACTTTAAGCTCCGA